GAAGCAGAGGAGGAGTAGCGGCGGGGGCGGCAGCGGGCGGAAGAGGAGGAGAAGGAGGGCTTTGCTGAGGGCGTGGCGGCGTGAAAGGGGCCGGGCTGGGGGCGGGGGTACGGAAAGCGGTGAGGTCCGCAAGTAGAGAAGGGGATGAAGGACAGAAGAGGGTCTGGTACGGTATGGGCTGCCGCGGCAGCAGCCTACGACCCACCATCGCAGTTATGTACACGTGTCCGCATTTGAGCCAGAGCTAGGCTTGCACACTGGCGATTATAAAGTATCTTTGCGCTTGGGGCAATGTCGCAGACTGTGAGGTCTAACCGAGTCGCGACTATTGCTGGTTGAAAACTAACTTCCAACCCCGCGGTCGTGTCCTTCGGGGCCTTCCGCAATTTCTGGCGGTCTTTTGACCCCACCCATTTAACACCTAATCTGTACACTTGACAATGTTTGAACGGCGGGCCCCGACTGTTATCCCGTACCGGTCCTTCCATTCAGCCTTCCTTTCACAAATGCTCCCTGTGGTTAAAGGATGGGCGCGGCAACAAGATGCAACGAGGGCAAGGCCGACCCACGGGTCGCGGGCCTGGGTTGGCAGCTGAGGGTTATACGACGGTGGAGATGGTCGCGGTGTCGTCAGCCTTGTCACCACCATTTACATCCCCGGCACCTGTCTTATCCCCGGCACCTCCATAACCAATCCCTTCTCCCAGTCCTGCTGCCCCATCCTCAAGAGTACCTACTATCAGCCCCAACACTCCCTCCTCTGCAGCAGGGCAGCCACCTCTCCCCCGTGCTAGCGGGTGTAGATTGCGCCGACTGCAGCTTTACATGAAAGGGCCATGCATGCTTGTAAGAACCCCGGCATGTGTTCCGGTGTGGATGTTGTTGCCCTGCTAGTATTGCGTTCTCTCGGAGGAGCGCGCCGGCTCCGAAGCTGGTTTCGGACATTTTACTAGCTCCAAGGTCCAAGCTACATTTGTCCTCTAGCAGTCCTCTAGCTGCAGTCCACTCTCCAGCTCTTCACTCTTCGGAAATTTGGACACACGGAGTGTCTACTTCTCTGTTAACTGCACACGGTTTGAAAGATTGTAACCTATAACGATGGAGCTGCCGCAATGACCGTGCGCCCTGTGCCGGACCGCAAACTACTACCATGCCTGCTTAAATGCGATCCTAACCATACCCCTTTAAGCCCTAACAGCACAAGTTCTATGGCCCAAACGGAACTGCCAAGGGCTTTCCTCGTCATATGGTACTCCTGCCAGTGTCAGTCGCCAGCTCGCAACCCCAGCTAGACAATTATTGCTAAGACTTCTAGACCAGCTTTTTTGTAACCCTACATGCAGCTGTTGACATATGACCTACTGGAATTGCCATGCGGTAACCAACTTCAAGCAATTCATGCGGTTCATGACACAGCCTGCGATCCACACTCAACAAGTTACGCCTATGTAGCAGCACATTTACTGTGTTTAATAATTGGGTAAACGCGCTATGTTTTGGGTAGCGCTATGTGCAACTGACGAGCCGCCTACCGGTATTCGTCGCTCGGGCTTACTGCACAGTATGTACCACAATCACATGAGAACAACACGCTGTATAACTGGGCTTCATTGTATTGCGTCGTAGAAGTCGATTACGCTGCAAGCTTTTACAACGAAGATAAGGCTGATCCAAGATAACCTTCTGACCTGGTCAAGCTCATATTCATTTTGCACTTGCATGTAAGCATTAAAGGCACGATCTTCGGGAAAGAGCGACGGATGAGCGACTTCCATTTGCCGGCCATGGCCAGCAGTTCTTGACGCCATCCGGCGCTGGCTTTAACAATTTCGGATCGGGCAGCGAATGTTAATATATTAGCATTTCGCGGCAGCTCGCGGTCCAAATTTTCCTCGGGCTCACATGGAGTTCCATGCCAGCCATGGCGTCATGTTGGCCCCGACGCAGTTAGGTTACCCCCTCCTCAGCCCTCCCCTGCCGGCCCCACCAACAAGCTCGCGGCCGGCGCTGCGCCAGAATAGCGCTGGCCCAGTGGCGGCCTCAGGGTGGCCCCGAGATGTCGCACTCGGACGCTTAGATGCCCACCAGCATTCCTCACAGCAGCCTCTGCCGGCTCTGCCTTGCCAAACATCACCGTGGGGTGCACCGTACAGCCCCAAACCGCGCAAACGGAGAAATCTGGGGCTCGGAAGCCCTGCCCTCGGCGTAGGCATGGCGACCTGTGTTGCTGATGCAGGAGCAGCCGCCGGCATGACGGCGCCTGGCGTGACCAGCAAGGCCCACATGGATGCAGGCAGCGGTCCCCTGCTAGGTGCCGCTGTGCAATTAGACCCGCTGGCGCGGCCTGCAGCAGCATCCGCAGATCATGGGGTAGACGGGTTGGCCTACAGCACTGGAAGTGGCAACGGTGCCGCCGTGCCGTACATGCGTCCCGCGGATCTGATGCGAGCTATCAAGAGCTGTACCTCTGTCGCAGAACTGTACGACATATACTACCGTTACTACCTCTGTCAGCGTCGGGATCTGCCATACACGCCCCATGGGAGGACCCGGTCCCCGCCCAGTGGTGCCGTTGCATGCAGCCCCGTCCCTCCGGCTGCCGTACGCGACCGGCACCGGGAGCGGCAGGGAGGGGAGGAAGGGCAGCCGCAACAGCATCGTAGCAGGCAACCAGGAACCAAACGTGATGGCGGCCCCAGCAGCTCTGGCGGCAGTGGCCCCAGCAGCACCGGCCCCAGCAATGGCCCCAGCAGTGCCCCCAGCTGCCTGAACGACCTGCACCTGTGTGCGCTGCTCACCCACCTGGCGCAGATGCAGGGCGCAGCAGCGCCGGCAGCGGCGGCAGCAGCGCCGGCGCATGAGCCTGTGCCAGCGATGACAGCAGCGCCTGCCGGAGCACGTGGGAGGTCGCAGGGAGCGGGAGCTCCAGGTGTCACGGCTGCGGGTGCGGCAACAGCTGGCTGTACCACCTCCACCACCACCACCACCACCTCCACCACCACCTCCACCACCACCACCTCCACCACCACCTCCACCACCACATCCACCACCACCACCACCGCCGGTCCAAGCAGCCCCCCCTCCCCCGCATGGACCCCCGCGGCGGTGCGCTCATTCGCCTGGCGGGTGGCGGCGGAGCTGGGCGGCCGAGCAGCCGCCGGATCGTGTGCGCTGCTGCTGCCGTCGGGCGGCAACCCGCGTGCCGCCAGCAACCTGATGTGGGCCGCCGCCAAGCTGCGGCTGGCGCTGCGGGCGAGCTGGTGGGAGACGCTGGCGGCGCCGCTGCTGCCGCCGCCGCCGCCGTCGGTGGTGGCGGGAGGGGAGTACGACAGGGGGGACGAGAGTGATGTGGAGGAGGAGGTGGAGGTGCAGGGAGGAGGAGGGGAGGGAGAGGAGGAGGAGGCGCCGCGGCGGCGGTGGGGGCAGCAGAGGCGGCAAGCAACAGCAGTGGGGCCCCCTTGTGCTGCTCCGAGCGGCAGGGATCTGGCCAATGCGCTGTATGCTGTGGGGTTGGCGGCGGAGGCAGCTGCTGGCGGCGGCGGCGCCGGTGCGGAGGAGGAGGAGGCGGCGGCGGAGGAGGGCGGCGGTACGAGCGGCGTTGTGAGGCGGTTCGTACGGCGGTTGCGTCGACTGGGGTCACAGCTGCTCGCGGCATGCGGGGCGGAGCAGCTGAAGGTGGGGTCGGGCGGGTGGGGTGGGGAACGAGGAGAAAGAACGGGGCTGGGGAACATGTGGGGGGCATGCAGCAGCCGCTGGCGTGTTAGGGCCGCAGAGCTAGGCAGCCCGGAGGACTGCTGGCCCCCTGAGAGCGGCCGGGAGCTGCCGTACCACCACCAATCCCACCTCCAGCAGCAGCCTCTTAACCGCAGCCTCCCAATATCTTGTAACCCTGTTCCCCATCCCGCCTCCTCCCCTCCCCCCCCGTCGCAGTCCTGTAACGCCCAGGAGCTGAGCTGCCTGCTGTACGGCACCGCGCTGCTGCAGCTGCCGCCGCCCCCCGGCTGGCTGGAGGGGGGGTACTGGCGGGCGCTGGAGGGGGCCCTGCGGCGGGGCGGGGGGCCGGCGGGGAGGGAGGCGCAGGTGGGGGCCAGGGGGGGAGAGAGCAGAGAGGGGTCGTGCGTCTTGGGTGGTGGGTGAAGCGGGGCGAGGTCATGAGGGCAGCCTGCTCATAGGGGTGCGCGTAGCAGAGGCTTCCGCTCAAGCGCAGCCCTCCCGGGCCCCCTCACCTCCCTGGCCCGCTCTCCCCTCTCATCGCAGGTGGTGGTCACAGTGCTGTGGTCCCTGCAGCACCTGCAGCAGCACCTGCAGCAGCAGCAGCAGCAGCAGGGGTCGCACCTAGCACCCGACCCCCGCACCGCCTGCAGCAACAGCTGCTGCTGCCCGCCCCTCCCTGCCGCCCGCATGCTGCTGGAGGCGTCCCGGCAGCTGCTGAGCGGCAGCAGTACGGCAGCTGTAGCGGGGCGGGGGGGGCACTGGCGGGGGCAGCAGCAGCTGCTGCAGCATGGATCCGCTGCCCTGCAGCCATCGTCCACCCCTCCTCCTCCTCCCCTTCCTCCTCAGCCCCCCACCCCGCCTCCGCTGCCTCCCGCCATGCTGGCGACCTTGCTGTGGTCCGTGGGGCGCCTGGCGGGGGGCGGCAGCGGCAGCGGCAGCCCTTGCAGCAGTCAAAGTGGCAGTAGTGACAATAGCGCCACATTACTACCAGACGTCACGGGTACCCACTGCAGCAGCAGTGCCCGGTACTCCTCCTCCTCTTCCTCCTCCTCCTCCTCCTCCTCCTCTTCCTCCTCCTCCTCCTCCTCCTCCTGCTCCTGCTCCTCCTCCTCCTGCTGCTGCTGTCTGGTCCCGGACGACGCCTGGTGTGAGGCGGCTGCGGCGGCCGCTGTGGCCACCCTGCGCACCTACCTGGCCTCTGCGGCGGGGGCAGGGGCGGGGGCAGGGGCAGGAACAAGAGTAGGGGCAGGGGCAGCAAGGACAGGGCAGGGGCGGGGCCCAGGTGCTGCGGCGGACTCGCGCCCAGGTCATCCAGCCCAAGTCCCCACGTCTCAGAGTCGGTCCCAGTCTCGGTCTCAGTCACCATCACCATCACCATCACCACCACCACCCCTGCCACCGCTGCTGGGCCCCCGGGAGCTGGTGGCGCTGGCGGGGGGGCTGGCGAGGATGGGGGTGAGGGGGGCGGGGGGATGGGGTGGGGTGGGGTTGTGTGTTGTCAGGGTTAAAGAGAGCACAGTTAGGCATAAGGCTAGGAGGGCTGGAAGAGGTGGTGTTGATGGTTGGGCTCAGCAGCGGCTCTGCATCCCCCACGGCACGGCTTTCATCCACCGCGGCCACCGGTAACCGCAAGCAGCGGTGATCCCGGACTCCGGTTGATGGGCCTGAGGGTCCTTAACGCTTCTGTAACGGTCGTTAACGGTGCTGACTGGGGCTAACAGCACGGCTGCCGCTCGCTCTCCCCGCCCCCCGCTGCATGCACAACCCCCCACCCTCGCAGGTTCCCTCCCGAGGCGGCCCGGCGGGGCAACAAGTGTGGCCGCTCATCTACTCCGCCGCGCGCCTCATGTGCACCTCCCCCGCCCTCGCCCTCACCGCCAGGACCCGCCGCGGACCCGGCCCCGCCCTCCCTGTAGCGGGGGCGTGGTGGCGGCCGGAGGATGTCTTCGAGCTGCTGTCGGCTGCCGTACAGGCCTGCAAGCATGCCTCCGTAACCGCCTCCTCCGTAACCGCCTCCGTCTCGCCCTCCGCCGCGGCCGCAGCTCCTGCTGCTGCTGCTGCGGCCCCCGCTACCGGGGAGGTGCCGGGCGCAGCAACTCCAGGTCCAGCGCTTGCTCCTACTCCCGCTGTTGCTGCTCCTCGGCCGCCTGCAGAGCTGGTGTCGGCGCTGCTGCGGCAGCTGAGGTTGTCAGTGCTGGAGGAGGCAGAGGAGGAGCAGCGGCGGGGGCGGCAGCGGGCGGGAGTGGAGGAGGAGGGGGCGGAGGAGGAGGATAAGGGGAGCGGGTTTCTGCTTAAAGGCAATGGCGGGTGGGAGCGCGGTTCAGGACACGGCAGTGGTGCTCGTGGCAGCGGCAGCAGCGGGGGCGGCGGCGGTCGGGGGTGTTCGGATGCGGTGCTGGTGGGCAGTGTGTGGGCGCTGGCTCGGCTGGGGTACCGGCCCTCGGAGGTGAGGCAGGGGAGGGGAGGGAGAGGGAACAGGAGGGAGATGGAGAGGGATTGCAGTAGGGCGATGGTGTGGAGAAGGGGCGCATTGAAAGGGGAGGGTTGGGAAGGCGATGGCGTCAGGAAGTGCAGAAGGGGTCGAAGAGAAACCAAAGGGCAGAAGGGGTGTGGCCTGCGACCCACCATCGCCCTCTTGAACAGGTGCGCCAAGTGGAGCCAAACCTACCCTTGCAGGGGGGCCTATCACAGTTATCTTTGCGCTTGGGGCAATGTCGCAGACTGTGAGGTCTAACCGAGTCGCGACTATTGCTGGTTGAAAACTAACTTCCAACCCCGCGGTCGTGTCCTTCGGGGCCTTCCGCAATTTCTGGCGGTCTTTTGACCCCACCCATTCGAAATTCAAACGGTTTTCCCATACCCGCTCCTCCTTATAACATTGAACCCATGTGCAAAGGGGTGGGGACAGGATAGGGAATGCTGAGAGGTGCTACTCAGAATGGGGACTTGGGTGACACACGGGTCACAGGTCTGGGGGGCACGACCGTTGCGGATCAATCAAAGCTTATAAGCCTCCTGCCCTTCCTTATTGAAACCGTCCCCATTATCTCCCATCATCCCCTTTTCCTTCTTCCTTCTTCCTTCCCTCCCCCTGCAGGACCAGCTGTCCTGGCTGCTCCCCGAGTTGCGGCGGCGGCTGCCCCGCCTGCCTCCCTCCCGACTGGGGCAGCTGCTGTGGGCTCTAGCTGAGATGGCTGCAGCCGCCCGGGACGGGGGAAGGCAGCAGCAGCTGCTGCAGCAGCCGCAGCAGCAAGAGGATCAGGTGGTTGGAATGGGGAACCCTGCGACTGCAGCGGCGGCGGGCGGGGGCGCAGTGGGAGGGGCCTCCGTGCCGTTACCCCTCCTGACCCTGGAAGCGGGCCTGACACGCACGATACGTAAGGCCCTGCTGCGGATTTGCAGGGAAGCGGGTAGTGGTGCTACAGCCGGCACTGCTAGGGGTGCTACAGCCGCCGCTGCCGCTACCAAGGACACCGGGCGAACGGAGCCTCGAACTGTCCTAGAGTTGTTGGTTGCCGTACGGCGACTCAGAGTACCGTTACATCCCCGGCTCGTACGGCAGCTGGCGAAGCAGCTCGTACGGCCCGCGGTACGACAAGTACGACGGGAGCTCATGCACGTGGCTCGAGTGCTGCGACGGCGGCAGCAGGAGCAGTTGTTCTCGCTGCAAAGTAACATGCAGCAGCATCAACAGATACAGCAACAACAGCTTGCCGCAGTTCGTACTGTACGGCGAAATGTACGGCTGCTGGGTGCGCTGACGTCAGCACTGGCGGGGCTGAGCTGCGGCCTGGGGTTGCGACCCAGGAGGAAGCAGCCCGGGGCGGCCCCGGATGTCGCGGGCAGCAGCGGTGGGGAACAAGCCAGCAGCGGCGGCAGTGGCGCTGGCAGCAGTGGCGGCGGCGGGGGTATCCACGATGTTATACGGCTGCACCCCACTGGATGCCTTCTGCGGTGGGGTCCGCTGGTGCGGCGGGAGCTGCTGGCGACGGGGCGGGGGGCGGCGGAGGCGGGGCGGGAGCTGCGGCGGCGGCAGCGGCAGGGGCAGGAGGAGGAGATTGGGGAAGGCGACGGCGGCGGCGGCGGAGGTCTGGGGGCGGGTGGAGAAGCTCTGGATGTGAGGGGCGTGTGCGCGTACCTGGCAGGTGGGTGTTAGGAAGAGGGGCTCTGTTGGGCTGCACCGTCCCCCCGCCGTTGTGCATGCCGCTCTGCCCAAGCCCCACTTTTCTCCTGCTGCTGCTGCTTCCATGCTCCCCCGCTCATCCACGCTTTACCCCCCCCCCCCTGACTCCCCCCCCCCTGCCACCCCCGACGCAGGTTTGCGGCGGTTGGGCTTCCAGCTGCCCCCCTCCCTGGCCGCCTCCCTCGCTGCCAGCCTGGTGGCGTACCCGCAGACCCCGCAGGGGGGGCCCCGGCGGCGAGGGGAGGGGCGGTTGGGCCGGGGGCAGCAGAGCAGGAGGGGCGGGGAGGCGGCGGTGCTGGCGACAGGCAGTGCCAGGTGGGGTGGGATGGGGTGGGATGGAAGCTGGCTGGGCTCCAGGTGGGGTACCGGTAATGTCCGTTACGGTAATGTCCAGGGAACAGTGCGTTGGTGGGCCGTTGAGGAATCCTTGACGGTTGTTGTCTTTCCTTTTTACACTGGGCAGGAGGGACGGCGAGAAAGGGAAGGATGCGTGCTTGGGCACTGTTTTGGTTGGATTGGCAGGCCCGACAAACGAACCTGCCTTCCCCCCTCTTCCCCCTCCCCACGTGTCCCCCTCCTGCCTCAGGGACCTCGTGGGTCTAGCATGCGAGTTGTCGTACCTCCTACGGCCGCCGTCGACTACTCTGTTGCTGTCGCATTGCAGCCGCCGTACTGCTGCCGCCGCCACCGCCACGGCCCCGTCGCTTCGTTTCCGACACAACAGCTGCCGCCACCCTCCTAGCAGCAGTCCTGCTGCCCCGGGCGGCGCCGCTGGCGGCACAGAATGCAAAGGTACGACTGTCCCTCCGGCCAAGGCGGCCAAGGCTTCCGTCGTACTGCAATCCGAGCCGCCGCTGCTGCCGCCGCCGCCACCAGCAATGCGTGCCAAGGCCACTGGATCCGGGGCGGGACCCATGGGTCTGCGGCGGCAACGGCTCGAGCGGCGGCGGCTGCAGTATTTGGTACGGCACAAGGTGGGCCCAGCGCTGCGCATTGCACTGCGAGGGCTGACGGAGCGGCCGACGGCGTCGGCGACGGGGCCGTCAGCAGCAGGTGGGGTGCTGTCTGTACGGCAGGCGATTACACTGCTGTCGGCGTTGCTGCGGCTGGGGCTGAGGCTGTCGCCGGCGGAGGTGGGGCTGGTGTTGCAGGGGACACTGGCGGTCGCAGCAGCCGGGGCCGTCAGCCGAACAACCGCGCCGGAAGATGTGGGCCGGGTGGGTCTGGCGGCGACGACACTGACGGTGGCGGCTAAGTTGGTGACGGCGACGGCGGCGGTCATGCCCGATCTGCCAGCCGCCACCGCTTCAGCGACGGATCTGTCGCGGCTGCCGCCAGCGGCTGGCGTTACGTCGACGGCGGCGCATTGGCTGTCGGAGCTGGCGGCGCGTACGGAGGCGCACCTGCGGGCGGCGCCGCCGGGGCCGCTGCTGGCGGAGGCGCTGCCGGCGGTGGCGGCGATGACGGCGGCGGCGGCGCGAGCGAGCTGGATGCGACCCGCCCTGGAACAACGCATCCTGCCCGCCACCTTTAACGCATGCCGCCGTACACTCAGTGCCGTACCGCCATTGCCGTACGTAACCGCCATGCTTGACGCGCTGTTGGTGATTCTGACGTCGGCGGCGGGTTCGTCCACCGGGGCGGTCGGGGCTTCCGCCAGCTTTGCGGCAGTTACTGACCCATGGGTCATGCCTGGGTCGGTGGGGACGGCGGGCGCTTCGGCTGCATGGGATATTAAACTGCCGTACGAGTTGTGGCTTGCCGTATTCCGTGCTAGCTACCGTCGTATGGAGGCTGACATGCCGCAGAAAGCAGCATTGATCACAGCTGCCAGCGCCGATGCAGACGTTAGCCCTGCGGACGCCGTCTTGAGCAACGCCACGGACAGTTCAATGAAAAGCGCCACAGCTGGCAGTACAAACAATGAAAAGGGGCAGCTGCAAGCTCCCCCCTCACGACTCATTCAGCAGCAGCAGCAGTTCCTCTCAAGCCCCGGCCCCACCGATTACGGCAACAACGCAGTAGCAGGTACGGCATCAGCGTCTGTGGGGCTGTACAACCCTGGCAACATGTCGTACGGAAGTGCTGGTAGCAGGGGAGCTAGTGCTGCTGGTGGCGGCGGCGGTGTCGTACAACAGCCGGACGATACCCCAGTGGGTGCCGTACAGTTGGTCTCACTCGCCTACTCGCTCGCTCGCCACCCTCCGCCCCGGCCTCCGCCCCCTCGCTGGATGCAGCTGCTGCTGCTGGTGAGAGAAGTGCAGGGAGGGGGAGCCATGCATAGGGGAATGCTTCTTTAGTTGTGCAAAAGCGTGCCGGCATATGATATCTGGGTGACCCGTGGGTCACTGGAGGATACAGAAGTCCATGTCGCCTTCTGCGTGTCACGATCCGTCTCTAGTGGATATAGAAAAGCGGAACCACCGTCAGCATGTCCCCCTGCCCCTGTGCTTTCAGCTTCTCAGTTCAACCCCAGCATCCTGTTGCTGTATTCTCACCCCCACCTCCACCCCACCCCATGTGTGTCTCAGGGTATCGAGGCGGACGTGGGCAGTCTGGACGCGCGGCGCTGCGCCGACCTGTGTGTGGCCCTGCAGCGGCTGGGCTGGGTGCCGGGGGGCGCGTGGATGCGGCGGTTCGGACTGCAGGTGCGGGGGCGGCCGGGGGGGGGGGGAAGGGGAGGTAAGGAGGAAAGACTGGCCGTGTGGTGACTGGTAAGGCATGTGTGGCGGCGGCAAGGGGGCAGTGCTGGTGGGGACAGAGGGTGTCAAGGTCCACAGAAAAGTTCCCAAAGAACAGCTCTGGATTTGAGAGGTCACGTTCTGGGTTCACTGTCGGGCTCCGGCGGGGTAGTGGCACGAGCGGTAGGACTGCGGTACCGGTGTGCGCTGCCCGATATGCGCCCCGTGTACCAGTACCCTATACACACTTCCCTCTCCCCCCACTCCCACCCCCCTACTTCCCTACACCCCCCCCCCAGGTGGAGCTCAGTCGCGCGCTGACGGAGCGGGCGGAGCACTCGCTGCTGAGTGAGGCGTGGCTGGGGCTGCGCAGGATGCAGCGGGAGGGGCTGCAGGGGGGGCAGCAGGGGCAGCAGCGGTAGGGGGCAGGATGCGGGAGAGGGAAGCGGGCAGTGGGGGCGCGGAGGATGAGGGGCTGTAGCAGTGGTAGGCAGGGGCATTGGGGCGCCAGGGGCAGTGGGGTGCGGTGGGGCTGCGCAGGATGCGGGAGTGGGGCCGGCGGCAGGACCGGCAGAAACTGCTGTAGTAGAGCGAGGGTGAGAGCGGGGGTAGCTGAGTCGGAGGCGTGGGAAGAGATTTTAGATGCTAGGTGGCGAGAGTGAGAGCAGCGGTGAGCGCGGAGGGGAGCTAGGAGGGGTGCGCGGCGGTAGGAGGGAGCCCCGTGCGGTGGGGTGGCGAGGGCGCGCGCTAGTTGCTTTTGTCCGGGGAAGCTACGTTGTTGTTGTTCTTGCTGAGTACGGGGAGCTGCCTTGAGGCAGCGCTGATCCATGCCATGCCTCAAGACGCAGTGGCTGCTCTGCCTCTCCGACCTCCACCATCGCGGTAGACGGTAAACGGCAGTGCTTATAGACTTAGACTGAGAAGATTGTGTCGCGCTCGAGCCGCGGCCGGCCCGGCTGTGTGCTCGAGCCGCGGCCGGCCCGGCTGTGTGCACCGTACTGGCATGTTTGGACATGGAGGCTGTGACATGAAGGAAGAGGAAGGAGGCAGGGACAGCTCGCCGAGGTGCCTGCCCTCACCACACGAAGGAAGATGTGGGCATGAGGGAGACGGAAGGGCATTTCGAGGGCAGGAACGTAGGCAGCGCAGCTGGATATTAGGCAAGTGGCATAGCAAGGGTATATAGTCTTGTTGGAATCTGTGTGCGCGCCTCGTGAGATGGCGAGAGGGCATGCGCAGGGATTGATGCCCCTGTGCTTGCGGCCAGCATTGACTAACATTGCGATGATCGAGCGTAGCGCGGAAGCAGCGAGCAGTATGCAGTTATGATTTGCGTTGAGCGCAGCTGCAGCTGCATTTCGACTTGGGGCCTCATCCACGTCACTGCCGGACAATGCAGGACAAAGGAGTCTGGCTAGCTGCATTTCATAAACTGCCGGCTTCTCCAGCAGCCTTCGCGACATTGCAGCCATATTTCCAAAGCTCTTTTCCAAAATTCCAACCTTATAGGACCGCCATTCCCTTTAACAGCAGCCCAAGATCTTATTAGCAGCCCTCATCAGCAAATGGGGAACGGTGTGGTCAGCAAGCCCACGCCCGAGGGTGAAGCCGCAGTGCTCGCTGACCCGCAGCCGGCAAACGCAGCTCCTTCAAGCATTCCTGCAGGCGGCCCTGCTTCCTCCTACCTGTCTGCTCTAATGTCCCGAAACGCGCCTGGCAAGACCGAGCCGTCTCGGGCTTCTTCCGACACAGCAGAGGTAGCATTCAGACTCGTTACACGCAGTAACCTTTCCTAAGCCTGCTGTTGCCGCTTACGCAATTTGAGAGAGATTTTTTTTTCTAAATACTGTTGTTGCTGATGCGCAGGTCGAGTCCGAGCAATCCAAGCAAGCATTCAAGCCCAAGGATGAGGAGGAAGGGCTGACCGCGGCTGCTGACCCACGGGTCGCTTCCAAGGGCGATGCACCCGATATCTCCCCGGCCGCACCCCCGCCGCATCCCTTCGCCTCCCACCAGCATCACCACCTCCACGGCGCCGCCTCCCCCAGTGCACACCCCCGCACTCCTCCCCCAGGGTCCGGTACGACATCAGGAGGTACGGCAGCAGCAGGCGGAGGTACGGCAGCGGGTCCAACCAACTGGTCGGTTGCCTCCGAGGCTGGATCTGCCGTACCCACCCTGGAGTCCTTTGACTTCAACTTCGCCGGCACCAGCGGGGGCGGTGGCGGCGAGGAGGAGGAGGAGGAGGAGGAGGAGGAGGGCGGTGGTGGTGGCGGTGGTGGCGGTGGCCGTGAGGACCCCTCTGGCAGCTGGGAAGAGGTAGAGGAGGAGGGTGAGGGTGAGGAGGAGGGGCGGGAGGGCAGGTTTTCCCCCTCGCCGTCGCCCCCTGCTCCCGCGCTGCCCGCCGGCCCCTTCCGCAGCATCCCCGAGCAGCTGCAGCTGGCACAGCAGCACTGGGCTCGCAGGCAGCAGCAGCAGCAGCAGCAGCAGCAGCAGCAGCAGCAGCAGCAGCAGCAGCAGCAGCAGCAGCAGCAGCAGCTGGGGGCGGGAGGCGGGGCGGCAGCAGGGGCGGAGGTGGAGGGTGGTGGTGGGGGTGGAGGTGGAGGTGGTTCCGATAGTGAGGAAGGTGGTGGCGGTGAGGGCAGTGGTGGCGGTGCGGGTGAGGGCAGTGGTGCCCGGCGGTACGGGCGGCGTGTGTGCGGGCAGGCGGGGGCGCTGCTGGACCCCCCCACTGCGCAGCGGGCGGAGGCGGCACTGGCGAAGTTGCGGCCGGTGGGGGTGGGGCCGGTGGTGGAGGTGGGGGCGGGGGTGCCGGGTATGGAGGAGCGAGCGACGGAGGAGGAGGTACGTGCGGGGGGGCGGGGGGAGGGAAGGGGGGAGGAGTGGGTGGGGAGATGTCTGGGGTACCGCATGGGGGGTTGGGGAGCCAGCCCTGTCCTTCACACGTGGCTACTGGTATCTCTGGCGTGCTTCTTCCTGCCGCGGCCGCATCCCACCGACTCGTCCTCCACTCCAATCCCCCCGCCCCCCCTCCCTCCCTCCCTCCCCTCCCCCCCTCCCCCCTCCCTCCAGGTTCACCAGCTGGATGAGGCGGTGGCGGCCATGAGGGGGGCGGGGGCGGGGGGAGGAGCAGGGCGAGGAGGAGGAGGCGGGGAGGCAGTGGGGCAGGGTGCGGCGGCAGGGGCGGCAGGGGGACTGGGGGAGGCACCGCTGTCAGGTACGGAGGAGGGGGAGGGGAGGGAGGGCGGGTTAGGGGAAGGGGCTATGTGTTGTGTAAGGGGTACAGGCCCCCTCGCTCCTGGTTGGGCCCTTCCCTCGAGGCAGTTCCGCGAAACACCTGCACGGCTGCATCCCTTCGCGCACCCCTTCTCCTATCTCGCACCAATACAGGTACACATCGCCCCCCACAACCCCACTCCCCTCCCCCCCAGATGAGGTGCTAGGTCGGGCCCTGGCGGCGGCCCGGGAGGACGAGAGCTTCTTCCGACGCGAGCAGGCAGCGGCGGCGGCGGCGGCAGCAGCGGCGGCGGCGGCGACACTGCCCGGCATGGCTGAGCGGGCCACCACGGAGGAGGTACGTGCGGGAGGGCGGGGGGTGGTGGCGTGTGGGTTGGGGTACGGGGGGCCCGGGGGGAGTTGGCGTGTTTTGTAAGCGTTCACGTTGCACATGCATCACGGCTGATGGCACGACGGAGAGTTGCCGTACGTAGGGAGGGCCCATGCGGTGCAGTGCATGTGCCCTTGCAGACCCGTGGACCCACACCTCCCACCACCACTACCCCCCCCTTCCCTCCCCTCCCCCAGGTACGGCAGCTGGACGATGCGGTGGCGGTGGTACGACAGCACTCCAGCAGCGGGGCAGGGGTCGGTGGGGGAGGGTGTGGGGGTGCTGAGGCAGTGGTGGGGGCGGATGGCGGCGGCATGGCGTCATGGGCGCCGCTTGCAGGTGTGTGGGAAGGGGTGGGGCAGGTGGGGTGGAGTAGGAGGAACGTTTCCTCCTCCCTGCCGTGTGCATGCCGCTCTCTCTTCTCTTCTTCTGTGCACCTCTACCACCCCGCTGACCTGCCCTTCCACACCACCCCCTTCGCCCCCTCCCTTCTCCCCATCCCAGACGAGGTTCTGCGGGAGGCCCGGCGGGCTCGTGCGGAGGACCGGCGCACCTTCGCCCGCCAGCTGGGAGTGGGGCTGGCGGGGCGGGGGGAGCGGGTGCTGGCAGGGGGGGAGGAGGGGGAGGAGGATATGGAGGGGAAGCGGGAGGAGGGTCTGCGGGAGAAGGAGTGGCAGGAGCGGCAGGAGACGGAGCGCTTCAGCAGCGGCGGTGGCGGTGCGGCTTATGGGGTCGCGCGTCGTGGAGGCAGGGATGAGCAGGGGGACGAGGAGGGGAAGGAGGGTGATGGCGGTGGTGATGGCGGTGCGGTGCGGCGCCTGCTGGGTGGGGTGTTGAGCAGGCTGCTGCTGCAGGGGGCCGGCAGCAGCAGCAGCAGGGGGAGCTGCAGGGGGAAGAGGCGGCCGCAGGCGGCAGCACTGCTGCGGGTGGGGTCAGCGGCGGCGGAGGGGAGGGCGGCGGTAGTGGTGGTGGTGGTGGCGGCGAGGGTCCCGCTGACCTGACCCACCACCACCCCGAGCTGGAGGATATCGAGGTGGGAAGCGGCGGGGCGGGCGGAAGAGGGGAGGAGGAGGAGAGGAGGTACTGGGAGCGAGGCACGTGAGGGGGCCTAGCACCGGAGTGGTCATGACTGCGGCCCGTCCTCCGAAACCGCTGAGAACGCCCCCACGTCCCTACCTTACCTCGTCCACTTATCCACCCCGCCTTCCGACCGCTTTCCACCCCTGCATGCTCCCCCCACGCGCCGCACGCGCCTGCTCCCATCGCTCATGCGGCGGTTCATCCTTGTCGTACGGCGCTCCGTGCCGTACCTGTGTGGTCGCCGTACCGCCCACGTCACCCCAGCGGCCGGTAGTGCCGGAGCAGCTGGGGGAGGAGGAGGAGGGGCAGCGGGCCGCTGCTGCAGGTGCCAGTGCCCCGAGTTCCGAGGTGGGCAGTAGCAGTGGCAGTGGCAGTAGCAGTGGCAGTGGCAGCGGTGGGGTCCCCGCCTTCAGCAGTGGTGTGCGAGGCATTGACCAGGTGGGCTGGAAGGCAAGGCGGAATAGGGCAAGCAAGCCGGGGCAGCAGCACATTGGGCAACCACCGTTCTCTTCCCTCGGGTCTACCTGCTTGCCCACCCCCACCTCACCTCTCCTCCCTGCCCTCCGCCGCCTGCCTCCTCGCCCCTCGCAGGCCCTTGCCGCCGCTGCCGCCGCCGCCTCCGCCACGCAGCAGCGGCTGGCCGCCTCCGCCGCCTGCGCGGAGCACGCGCTGGAGGGGGCGGCGCTGCAGCTGGCCCGGGCGGCGGTGGAGGCGGCATGCAGGGTGATGGGGGTGGAGGAGGAGGGGGAGGGGGAGGAGGGAGAGGAGGAGGGTGGTGCCCCTGAGGCTGGGGGTGGAGCAGCAGGCGCGGGTGCGGGCGCAGGCGGTCCCGGCCCCGTGGAGGGTGTGGGTGTGGAGGCGGTGGGGCCAGGTCGGGGTGCGGTGGGTGAGCCTGCTGGGCCGGTGGGCAGTGGGGGCGGCGAGGTGGGGGGCCAGAGGGAGGGCGAGGCGGGTAGGGGCGGGGAGGGGGGCGGTAAGGTCGAGGCGGGGGGCAAGGGGCTGCTGTCGTCGCTGGGTCAGGCGGCGGCGGATGCGCGGGGGCTGGTGCGGGAGGCGCTGCGCATGCTGGATTGAGGGGGGTTGTAAGGGGGGAGGTGAAAGAGGAGAAGGGGGTTGGCGGGGGTGAAGGAGGTCGGAGGGGTGTGGGGGGAGCAGTGTTGGGCGGCGTGGAGGAGCTGGGTGGGTATGGAGATTGCATAGAAGGCGGAGGGTCAGGACACGACAGCCGTTCGGCAAGGGCGGTGGGCGGATGGGAAAGCTGGTTACGTGTGTGGCCTTTCTGAGGTGGGGCGCTGGGAGGAATGGAAGGCTTGGTGAATCACGCTGGAGGGAGATTGCGTGTGCGAGTTGTGTGTCGTCTGTCGTGTGTATGAACGTAGTAGCCGGGTCTAGGTATGAGACCCACTCTGTGCGCCGAGTTGAACCTGTCTGGCTGGCCGCGTTCACAAGGACTGGTATAAGTTGGCGTAATCTGACGAGTTGTATGGCAGGTGCGGTTGGTTCGTTGGCAAGTTCCTGAGCGCTGAAAACCCCTGCAATGTGCAGCCCAGCATGGTGTAGACAGGGGCGCAGAACCTGGGTAGGCGTAATTCAATGAAGTTGGAAGTTTAATGATTGACATATCTTGCTGAGGCCGGATTCATGGTTTGCCGGAGGCTAATCCGTTTTGGCTATTAACTACCCGTGGGTCGGAAGAGGCACTAGGTCCTTAGATCATCGCAAAGCATCGGCCAGCAGAAACAGCACACCTGTATTTGTATCATGGCTTCCCATATGCGGCAAATTGCTGATTGCGAATGGTCCTAAATGCCAGTACTCGAAGTACTGCCGAAGTTGTCATGAGCTGCGCAAGGAATTTGATGAAACTCTTCTGATTTAGTATCTCCTTTCGGATAATAGTTGTTACGCAAGGCGTTACACTGCGTTGCTTTTTACATCACTCCAATCTTTGCTGGGTTTTGCCTCGAGGAAACAGCCGACTGGATAATCCTTATGTTGTTCCGTCTATAGTATTTAGCTAGGAGGATGCCACCAAAGAAAAAGGATGACAAGAAGAAAGATGCCAACCAGGATGCGAAGAAGAACGAGGCGGAGGAGGAGCGAGAGCTGGTGGAGAAAGAGCTTGTTATTGGATATTTGCGCTCAAAGCTAAACAGGTACTGCGGAGTGCTGAGGCAGCGGCCGCGGGAACAGTGCATGCAGCAGCGCTAACCAAGGCCATGGAGTGGACCCAATTGCACATTACTCGCCTTCAGAGTCGCTTGCAAGCCTAATTGTATTGTGGGAAAGATGTCACCAGAAAACGGTGCCGCAAACGCCCGGGCAGAGTCACCTACCCTTCTCGTGCATAGCTTGTCAGCCCGCTCCCGGCTTTTCGGTGGGGACACGTTTCCCCATGCCTACCTCCCTTCCCCGCTCCCTTTCTCCCCTTCCGCCTCCTTCCCCACCTCCTCCCGCTTTCCGCCTCCCCGCCCCTCCCTCCCATCCCCTCAGGTACCAGGAGCACGGCGACCGGCTGCAGGTGGATGTGGTGAAGCTGTCGGACGAGCTGGAGACGCAGAAACTCAACCTGCGGGACATCAATGAGTTCCTCACAAACGAGCTCAAGGTGGGGCCAGGGAAGGCTGGCGGAGGGAAGGGGGGAAGACGGAGGGGTGGGTCGGGGATGCGAGGGTGGAGTTGGTGATGCGAATAGCTGCGAATAGCGGCGCTGAGGTAGACGGGAGGTCTCTGGATGGAGCCCTGGTGGCTCTGGAGTGTCTGAACGCATGGTCCGCGTGGCTAGCGGTGCGGTGGGAGGTGGTTGGTTGACTGCTCCCCGGCAGCTGACAAAGCAGCACTGAGGGTGGAGGCAGGAGAGGCAGGCGCAGCAACAGGAGCAGCAGCAGCGGCCCTCATCCGCGGATCTTGGGGCGGATCTTCCTTGTCAACAACCCGCATGCATTCCTTTCCCTTATGTCCTCTCACACCACCCGCGCATCCCCATCTCCGCTCCCCCTTTCATCTCGCCCCGCCCCCCCGCCCAGGCTCGCTCCCTGACCACCACCGCGCTGGAGGCCAAGGTGGCGGAGCTGAACACGCTGCTGGAGGATGTCAAGAAGAGCCACGAGGTGGGCGGGCACACGGGGGAGGGGAGGCAGGGGGAAGATGAATGCCATGTTGTTGCGGGAGGGGAGGGGTGTGGAGGAAAGGTGGGAGAGGGGTCCAAGGTTGGACGGGAGAGGGGGAAAAGAAGAATCCCACAGTGTTTACTGATGGAGAGGGGGAGGGGGTGCCTGCGACGGGTGGGAGGGGGAGGGGGGGGGCGAGGGCGCAAGGGATGGGTTGCTCCCACGGTTGCTCTGGGCCCCCGACCCGCGACCTCTTGCACCTTTCCAGACTCCCTCCACCCGGCCCCTCTCCAGACAGTCGCGTCTATGCACAACCTCTCCTTTCCCCTTTCCTCCCCTCCTCCTCTCCTCCTCCCTCCCCTCCCCTCCCCCTGCCAGGCCGCCCTGAGCCGGCTGCGCTCCGACAAGGACCGCGACATCGAGCGGCTGGAGGCGGTGGTGCGCGAGCACGATCGCAAGGCGCGCATCACGCAGGAGTTCCTGGACCGCAAGGAGGCAATGGAGGCGGAGCTGCAGGTGGGGGAGGGAGGAGGGGGGGCAGAGGGGAAAGAAGGAGGACCATGGCGTTGAGTGAGCGTGGCAAGTGGGTTGGGGAGAGCTGTTTGTACTTCGCCTTGGATTGTGCCCTCCCTTCCTTCGTGTGGCCTGACTTGTTGTGTCGCTCATATTCCGCGTCCTCCTCCTCCCCCTGCTCCCCCACTGCAGAGTCTGAAGGAGACGCTGGCTCGCAAGACCAAGGACTACGAACAGCAGCTCACGTGAGTGGATAGGGGGTGGGGTGGGGTGGGGGATTCGGGAGGTAGGCGGGGAAAGGGCAGGGAGAGGCGAGGGCAGGGAGGAAGGATAAATTGAGCTGCCACCGGTGTGAGCTCCTCCCTCCCTGCCTTATCACACGGTCAGTTAGTTGTTTCCTCTTTACCCTCGCTCCCATCCTCCCCCCTTCTTCCCCCCCCAGCGACATGGACCGGCAGCACATCCAGGATCGCGAGAAGTGGAAGCGCGAGATGGCTTCCAAGATCAAGGAGACCAAGCTGCAGATGATGAAGCTGACGGACAACCAGCTGGAGATGACCACCAAGCGCACCATCATGGAGAACGAGCAGATGAGCATCGAGCTGTCCTACCAGTCGCGGCAGACGGAGAAGCTGCTAAACAAGAACTCCAAGTGGGTGGGGTGGGGTTGGGGTTGAGTTTGGGGTTTGGAGCTCCAGAAGGAGTAGGGGGAGCAGACGTACAGGGGCCGTACGGGCTGTAAGTAGAGGGTGTTGGGAATGGGGGCAAGGTGGAACAGGGTAGCATCGTGAGCGTCATGTCCTACTCCTCTCTCCAACCCATCTCCCTCCCCACCCCACCCCGCCTCACCCCACCCCACCCCGCCGCGCCTCAGGCTGATGGAGGAGAACGCGGAGTTGCGGCGGCAGCTGGAGCTGTCCAAGCAGACGGAGGAGGAGCTGGCGCGGCGCAACAACCTCTACCAGAAGACGATCAAGACGCTGGTGGGTGGAGGGGGAGGGTGGAGGGTGGGGCGGCAGGGCCGGCGGGCGCACTTGGGGGTCAATACCCTGCATCATCACTGGGCTCGCCAGTGCGACATCAACACCCCACTTTTATATCTCGCGGTGCCCCTCCCCCTCCCCCCCCCCCCAGCTGTCCAAGCTGCAGGACCAGGGCTACGCTGCCGCCGAGAGCGACCAGGTAGTGGGGCAGCTGGACCAGCGGCTGGCGGACCTGGCAGGGCACCTGCACCTGGCGCAGCTGCAGCTCGAGGAGAAGAGCGCGGAGCTGGAGCAGGTGGGGAGGAAAATTATAAATAAGTGCAACAACACAATCCCAATCCCGAATCCCGACTCATGCAGTGAGCGCATTCGGAGACACTAATCTAGAAACACGCATCTCAGAGACTTACCAATTGCTTATCAGAAACCGAGATGACTTGGGGAAGAAGCCGCCTTGCATATGAACACTAGTAGAGCAGGTGGGGAGGGGGGGGATTTATTATTATTATTATTATTACATTACGCCGGACCCAGTCCTGGCGTGTGTTAAGGAGGCATGGCATGAGGGGTGTCTGATGTTTTCCCCTGGAGCACAATACCACCGCCGAGTGGGGAGGGGGAGGGGGGGGATCAGAGACTATACCAAACCATAGGAAACCACAGGTTAGGGCCCCCCCCCCGCCCGCTCGTTAGTTGCCTCGTCAGTAACCTCATTTTTACCCCCCCCCCCGCCCCCCAGCTACGGGAGAAGCTGGACTCCAAGACCGCGGAGGCCGCCTCGCTCACCTCGCAGTACGACGACACGGCCCGCTTCCTGCTGCAGTGCGTGGCGGACGTGCGGGACAAGGTGGTCACGGTTGTGCGGGAGGAGCGGGTGCAGCCGCAGGAGGGGGCGGCGGGGGGCGGGCAGCAGCCCCCCGGGGCGGACATCACGGCGGTGCTGCCGGGTGGGTGCGAGGGAAGGGAGGAGGGAGGGAGGGAGGGAGGGAGGGAGGGGGGGTGGAGGATGCGGTGTGGGGGGCCGTGTGTGGGCAGTTGCCGTAGGATGCCATGTGCGTGTCTCGGTGATGCAAGGCTGCGTGGGTACTCTGGGTAGATTTGGTATCTCCCCTTGCCAACGTTTTTAATACTCGTGCCTGCTTGAGCGTCTGTGCGTCCTCTTCCCCCAACCCATCCGCAGGTCGGTTGGAGGAGCTCAGCCTGGAGCAGCGGGAGCGCGTGTTGGCCTGGATGCTGGAGCGGCTGCACGTCTACACCGTCAACCGGGGCCTAACGGGGCCAGGCGTGGGGCTGGGGCTGGCGCTGGGGGAGCAGTTCTCAGCGGGCGGGGCGCTGGGCGGCAGCGGCCTGGCCTCCGCCGCCAGCGCCCGCGGTGGCGGCAGCGGCGGGGAGGCGTCCAGCAGCGGCGTCATCCTGCCGCCCATCCCCTCCTTCAACCGCCGGCAGTACGCACACGGACACGGGCCGCTGTCGCAGAGCACGCCGCAGCCCATGTCGGCGGGCAGCATGGGGCTGGCGCTGGCGGGGGAGTGGGGGCAGAGTGGCGGCGTGGGCATGGGCGGTGTCAGTGCCGGGGGCCTGGCCTCTCCAGGTCCTGCGGGGGGCGGTGCTGGTGGGATGATGGGCGCGGGGTCGCGGCTAGGGCGGCTGCCGACAAGAGAGATGGAGGGCGGTGGTAGCGGCGGGGGTAGTGTTCTCCCGGGGTCATCTCAGGGGCAAGTGGGCGTGGCGGCGAGTGCAGGCGGGTTGGACCCGGGGCTGGGGATGATGGGAGTGCCGTACGGGGGTGGCATGGGCTTGACGGGTGGCATGGCTAACTCGTACGGTGCGCCTGCGGGGGAGATGGTGCATGTAGGAGGGGGCGGTGCTGCGGGCGGCGGCGGGGGTGACGTGGATGAGGCGCTTGCAAAGGTGCTGAGTGAGGTGCGGCCGTGGGGCAAGCGGTCGCAGGAGCAGCCGCTGAGCACCAACAAGCACTCGGGGACATTCCTACGCAGGGGGCAAGGCCGGACGGCTGTGAAGGCGTAGGGATCAGGGCGTAGAGCAGGCTAGAGACATAGTTAGCTGTAAGCCTGCGTTGACGGAGCGGAGGGAGGCAAGCATGCATGCATGACGACAAGGCATTACTTGAAATTTCAGCACATTAGCTTTTTCCACGCATGTATCCTATTAAGCAAGTATGCTGGATACTTATCTGCCACTAGCAATAGTGAAGGTGCTGGCGGTAACTGTCGAATCGCCTGCTGCCAGGTTTTACTGCCAAGTGATAGAGAGTTCTTTTGTACGATATTCCTATACACACATCGCAGTGATGCTGTAAGTGATCTTTCCTGTCTGAGCTTTGGCACATGGGAGAATTATCACCTTGCGTTACATATCACCGTGCTTAAATGCAGGTAATAAGAAAGAAGACGGGCGACACGAGCTCGGTGTCTGACAGCCAATATGGACTCACCAGCTCGGCGACCACCGACTGAAACGTTCTTCCTTGTGTTACCGTTTTCACATCGGGGCAAAGGTTAAGTCTCTTCTCTGGGTGGTCCAGCCACTAAAAATTGTCAAGTTAAATCGAGGACCTGCTTGTTGCCCGAATTCGCCGGCAACTCAAGTCAAAAGTGCCCATAAAAAATCTAAGACACACCATACCACGCGCCCTAACACTTGATTATCCCGACCATAAGGGGTTAAACAACCGGCTGCACCGCTGCGAGGCTCCCATGCAAGGCCATCACTTGCGACGCGGCTCTTCCCCCACTAAACACGCGTCCTGCATGCCCGCTTGGGGCACAATGCCATCGCAGCCCAGCCAAACCAAACACAACAGGCAACGTCTAACTGCCCGCTCATTGGTGCATCCAGTGCATGCCACCGCAAGCATAAAACGCTGCTGCCCTGCATACTCAGGGCAAAATGCACATGACCGGGGCCCACCTAAATACACATGTACCAGTCATCTGGTGGTGGCCTAGGTTGGGCGCAACCACGTACGTCATCAAGGCTGTTCTTCTTCTTCTTCCTCCCTAATCATCCATAGTTAACCTGCCTAATAGAGCTAAGCTGCGAAGGGCAACAGCTGCAAGAGGCGACTGCAGTACCAAGCTGGCCACTAAGTCGCCCCCACAAGCCGACCCAAGTCAGTCCTAGACCCTATTTACGCGGCGGGCTTGTCCTTGGGCTTCTCGCCGGTGATGTACATCCCGGTCTCCTCCTGCAGCTGCGAGAACTGCTTGTTGAGCGAGGCGGCGGCGTTGATCCACATGACGATGATCACGCACAGGATCGCGCCCAGGTAGGGGGTGGAGGCGGCCAGCGAGCCCAGGCCCAGAATCATGAACTGCTGGATCAGAGCACCGCCAGACTTGCCCAGCGGGTTGCAGATCACATCAATGGCGGCCTTGCCCTTGGTCTTCACCTCGTCCTCCAGGGGAATGTACGCCATCTCCTTGCAGGGGTCGAACAGCGAGTACTTGGACGACTTGGAGAACACGTTCTGCGCGGCACCCACCAGCACGGCGGCGTACAGCGGGGTCATGCCCCAGGCGGCCAGGGCGGGCTTGACGGTGTCACCAGCCAGCACCAGGGTGAAGAAGATCAGACCGGTGACCAGCAGCATGATGGGGGTGATCAGCGCAGCCACACCCCAGCCGAACTGCTTGAAGATCCAGCGGGACAGGATCATCATGGTGAAGGTCACCGTGCCGGTGGCGGTGGAGAACTCGCCCATGAAGGCAGAGTAGTCGTTGGGGTTGGGGAACTGGGCCTTGAGCTTGCCCTTCCAGGTCACCTCGACCAGGTTGATCGAGATGCCGTACGCCACCACCAGGGTGGCCATGTCGCGGATGTACGACGACTGGGCCAGGAACTTGAAGGACTCGCCGACGCTCATCTTCGACTTCTTCTTCTTCTTGCCGTCGCGCAGGGTCTTAATCTGGGGGACCACCAGGCGCTGCAGCGCGAAGTAGATGGCGCAGATAAGGCCACCGCCCAGCACGACCATGCTCATCAGGCCGTTCAGCGACACACCCCAGCCGTCAACGCCAGGGGGCAGGCCAGCGCGGACCTGGATAGGGCCGAAAAAGGAGGGATGCAGAGAACGGGTTAATCGCGGTGAGGTAAGTGAAGAGCTGAATCCAAGCCCCAACGCAACCTAAGGCTGTACACATTCATGGTAGCACGACAGATGCTAAGCTCAAGAATGGAAAGACAGACGTGTACGGAGGGTTGAAGAAAGGTACCAACTTGACGAGCGCCCAGGGCACTAGCATCCTTCTAGAGAGCAGTCAGGATAACATGTGAGCAGCCTAGCATGATCTATGATGGCCATGTTAATGCTCGTACCTGCGAGAAGTACTTCACAGCCTGGCCCGAGAAGATCAGGGCAACGTTGGCGCCCAGACCGAACAGGGGGTAGAACTGCGAGGCCTCCTCCACGGTGGTGATCTGGTTGGCGAAGCCCCAGAACAGCACGGACACGACGACGGAGCCCCACAGCTCAGCCATCACGTAGAACAGGCAGAAGGTCCAGTTGCGCAGAATGGCAATGGGGCCAGCCCAGCGGGGGCCCATGGTCGCCAGCAGGCTCTTGCAGAACTCTGTTGGGGAAGAGAATCAGACCATCAGTACCAAATGCATTTTAGCGGAACGTTTTTTTGCGAGTTAATCGGAAGAACTGTAACGGAAAGCGCTGCCTAGCCATGATGCAATCTGCCTAACGTCAAGTGTACATGTATCGACATGCCGACCTACCAGTGGGGTGCAGGGCGTCACGCATGGGGTAAAGGACGGTGGCGAAGGCGCCGAAGAAGGCAATGAAGGGGATGATGCAAGCGTAGAACAGCGGCTCCTTCTCCAGCACGTTCGACATCTGCGAATGGCAGAGAGAAGTGAGCAGTGCCGAGGTAGAGACCAACCCGAGCCGTAATGCGCAATGCTTATAATTATAACTTACCCAGGAGTACAGCACGGTGAAGCCAATGGCCATGGGCAGGTTAACCCAGGTCTTCAGGAAGGGAATAATCTCAGCGCCCGAGCCAGGAGCCGTCACCACCAGCACATCCTGTGGAAAGGAAGAGCATTAAAGAATTAAACATTGATGGCTGCATGAACGCCTACTTATATGCAGTGTCGAAACGTAACTGAGGGTTCCATCACGAGACGACCCCGACACCGCGCACCTTGGTGTCACGGAGAATGGTGTAGTTGAACAGAATGCAGAAGAACATGGCACCCAGAGGCAGAATCTTGGCCCAGGTCAGGGGCTCGAAGCCCAGGAACTTCTTGGGCTCAGGGGCCGGGGCGTCCGAGGCGGCGGACTGGGGCGCGGGAGCCAGGACCTTCTTCTCCGCGGGCTTGGGAGCGAAGGGGCGGCCCGACAGCTCACCCATGCCAGCCTACGTTTCAGCAATTCATGACAGGAGCCGGTGAGTCCCGGAAGACGTGAAGACGAGACATCCTTGCCGAAACCGCATACCTTGGGGGCCACACGGGGAGTCACGACAGGGGCCACACGAGGAGCCACAGCTGGCATAGCCAGCTTGCTCTGGCGCTGCAGCTTAATGCCGCCCATCAGGGGCTTGCCCGCGAGAAGGGACGCCATCTCTGCCAGTAGTGATCAACACCGAAAGCTAAGTCCGTGGGTCCTTGACCCACTGCAGCAACGATGCAACCACTAGTACGTAAGTACAGCCAAAGTAAAGTAATTATGATAGGTAACGGGCGGTAGATATGAATGGTGAAGAAGGCGCTCCAGGGAGGCTTCCGTATGAGGGAAAGAGCGTAAGCTCCTTTACAATGAATTCCTACTTTACTTGCAGCACCTGTCTTCCATCATTACCTGCAATAATTTCACGAAATAAAAAGCCTCGTAAAGTGAGTTTTCAACCCGCGCGCACCGACAGTGTAACCTACGGTTCTCATTCTTAAAGAATACGTCTTGAGGTAAGGAAAACACGGTGGAAGGTGTTTGCTGAACGCTTTCGGGGCCCAACTTCACGTGCCTTTTCCCGCTTCCGGCGTTGCTGCCAGGACGCTTTTTGACCTTTTGACCAATGCCTTATCCATAGTGTCATGCAACATCACATGCTTACTTTGATGACCCTTCTCGTACCTCTTCCTTTTACTGTGGACACGTAACTGCCATGGTATCTCTTGGTCAGTTCCGGCGTCGTCCCTTTCCGCTCAGGAGGAACGGAGTATTGCCAGCATGGCTAGGTGATACTAACTTGCACAGGAAACAGGTATCAAGTCAGAACGTCCATAGCCTTAGTCACAGGGCGAACATGGCGAACGCGTTTAACCCACAGTCTTTCTCGTATAGTAACGTGCAATATTGCAAACTCCGGATTGTGTTCGGTTCCAAACGTCGCGACGCCGACCCGGCGACGGCGAGGTACTAGTGAAGTCCGCCGATGGGCTTTGGCGGCGGACTATGGAGCAGCTGTCAATCCTTTCTAGCTCAATTGTCAAATTGTGCTGCCATGGGGTTGGAAAAGTTAATCGCATGCCTAGCGGCTGTGACCCAGTCCGTTCGGATAATGCACTTTAAACAACATACGTTGTAAGTTTTATCCGGCGCAAACACTGAACGGTGCAATCCCTATAACCGACAACAATCATATGACGGTTACCTATATCAATTCCACTCACCAGCCTGGTTTGACACTCTACACTAGGGAAATTGAGGTTCGAGAGGTGAACCAGGGATGACCCAATTCGCCTCTTCTCTATTTATAGAAAATAAAGAACGGCATTGCAGTAATATAGCGCCCATCCAATCATCCCATACTAAGGGAATACATCAGCTTTCTATGCGACCCCGGGGTCAGTGGGTCTGCATATGGCCTGCTGACCAGCTATTCTACCGCGGCACGCCACTATGATAGGAGCCGAACGGGACCATGCAGTTCAAGCATGCACAGCGCTGCAAAAGCTGTTCCCTTTGAATATACAACGGCTGGCGCCACACGTGCCCATACAAGCAAGCAGAAGCTTCCCTCTGCTCCACTGGTTGGGTGAGAAGGCAGCCAACTCATCAGGCAGCGGCGACTGAATACCGGTATGGTAAAGCTATGCCTATGCCCATGCCTACTGCTGCTGTACCGTGACACTGCGTGCTTAAACCTTTCTGGATATAGCTGCATCTTTATCTCACCTGTTCGAGAGAGGACCCAGGACAGGTTTGCAACAAGCGAACACATGAAGTCGACGTACAATGGGCACGTAGTGGTGGAGGGCCGCGCAGGCAGTGCCTCTGTCACCCGCCCTGACATTGCTAATGGCCGCTATTCCCATGCCGCCATATGCGTTGCCAGTTGCAGCCCCTTTTTGTTAACACTGTCGGCAGGGCCCTGCTTCCTCCGCTGCTGCCCAGCACTGCCGGTACGACAGTCCTTCCAGCCACCGAACACCGAACACTGGGTTGTGAACTTTCATGGCGATCTTGGCAAACACAACACACCGTACAGGTTCCTATCATCCTATGCACGTACGTCCCACATACAAACAACTAAGCGGCACTAGTCAACAAGCCGCAACAACCTACATGACGTGACGTTTCAGCCACCACACCACACACCACACCACACACCACAGCATGCACACCAATCCGTCTGCCACCTCACCGCGTGACCACCCCCTTTGATCCTCCCCAGCCACCTTCCACCTCCATGTTGCATGCAGGACTTCCCATGCACGACATCCCAGCGCGCCCCCCCCCCCTCCCCTGCTTGCCGAAGCTGCCTGCTCCTGAAGCGGGGTGAGGACGCGCCGCTGTTCAAGCCGACTTCCGTACGCCAGCCACCAGCCTCCGTGTTGCACCGCCGTTCAACACGTTCAGAGCTGCGGAGGGGAAGTCGGGAGGCCGCAGGGGGCGGTGGGACACAGGTCGGGAGGTTGCACAGCAACGGACATGCCGGGCGCCGGATGTGTTCACCTGGCTTTCCCCGCACCCCACACGGGCTACTTCCAGCAGCAAACGCACCAGTACGACAACACCCCCCCCACCCGACCACACTCCGTCTCCCCCTTGCTTTCCCGCCCCTTCTCCTCCCTTCCTTCCCGCTCCTGCCTCACCCTCCTCCCCGCCACTCCCACCCCCCTCCCTCCCACGCGCCTCCCCCCCTACCGCGGTGAGCGGGATGTCGCCGTCCGGCTCCCCCACGATGCTGACGTCAGCGGCGCCCAGCTGCTGCCCCTGCGCCGGTGCCCCCGTGCTGCTGGCGGGGGAGGTGAAGTTGGCGGTCCCCACCAGCGCCTCGCCCACCACCTGGACGCCGCAGTAGAGCTGGGGGGGGGGGGAGGGGGGGGAGGTAAGGAGGGGGAGGAGGGTGGGAGCAGCATACCGGTACACGGCCCGGTCAGTACAGTTGCGCGGCTCAGTACTGTTTTCGACACAGCCCGGTCAGAGCCGGCAAACAGAGTCCGAGATTTCAAACGGGAAGGGAACGAGCGTGTCGGGGCCAGGGAAAAAAGAAATTCCAAAGTGTGGTGTCGGGGCCAGGGAGGGGGCTCCGGAGGGAGCGAGGAGGCGAGGGACGCATATCGGCAGGCGCCTCCTCCTCCCATACACCCTTCCCCCACCCCACCCCGCCCCCGCCCCCCTCACCGCCAGCGTGCTGCCCTCATGCAGCTCCACCCGCGTGTTGGCCAGCAGCAGCTCGCCGCCCCACAGCTCCAGCGTGCTGTTGAAGAGGAGCAGGCTTGAGTTGCGGAGTAGCAGGCTGGAGTTGCCGGTCAGCAGTACGCCCTGCAGGTTGCGGAACACCAGCAGGCTGCCTGCATGGGGGGGAGTGGGGTGGGGGTTGGGAGTGGAGGAGTGGAGGTGAGGAATGCTGGAGGGAGGAGTGGGATATGTGTGCGGGCGACGCGTCGTGCGCCGCCGAAACCCCGGCTTTACTTGCAGGTGACCGGACCTCCCCGCCCCCTCCAGTACCGCCAGCCCCCGCCCCCGCCTTCCGCCCCCTCTAGCAGCTAGCCGCAGCGGCTATCAGCCTGTCACCACCGCTTGCCATCAGCGCCACCAAGCAACCCGGTCTCATCCTCCTTACGCCCCCTCCGTCAGCCGCATCATGAGCCGGCACAACACCGCCGCCCCCTCCCGCCGCTGCTCCCCTCCCCCTCCTCCCCCGTCCGCCACCTACCGGTTGCATTAATGACCGAGTTGTCGTACCACAGCAGCGGGGCGACTTGGTTTTCGTACAGCGGGGGGGCGGGGGTGGCGGGGTCGGAGTGCACGTTCCTGCGGAGGGGGGGGGAGAGGGCGGCGGGGACGGTTATCTTCCTACTAGGGGCTTTAGAGGATCCCCATTGCTTCATGCATGGTGGACTGCGGGGGTCGTGTGGTTTTCAGGAGAAATGGCAAACCGTTCCCCACGGCACCCTCCCCTGCACCACCTGCACCTCGGTAACCCCAACCCACCACGTGGAGCCGTCCAGCACGGTGGTGCTCCGGTTGCCGTACAGTACGACATCCTTGAACTCCATCACACTGCGTACGGCTGTCACGGAGGAGGAGTCGACGGACCTGTGACCCATGGGTCGTCGGGTTGGGCAGAGGGTGGGAGCGGGCAAAGGAGAGGATAAGGGTGCGGGGATCGTGGTGCTGCCAGCACGGCAGCCGGGGCGTGGGGGAGGCGTTGCAGCAATGAGGCGCAAAGCTCCTCTTCCGGTCCCTTTACCGCTACAATTTCCGTCCGAATCGCCATTGGCCCGGCTGGCCGCATCCGCCCTCCCTCCCTCCCTCCCTCCCTCCCTCTCCCACCAGGCCAGGTAGTCGGTGAAGTTGATCCTGCTGTCCTGCAGCCCCAGCTGCGTGCCGTTGGCCAGGTAGGCCCAGTTGTTGGCGGCCAGGGTGAGGGTGGAGCGGTTGAGCAGCACGTCGCTGCCGGACAGGTCCAGGGTGTTGTTCTGGGTGGGGGCGGGGGGGGTGGGAGGGAGGGAGGGAGGGAGAGGGTAGGCAAGGGAGGGGTTGGGCAGGGAGGCAAGCTTACACACAGCCACACAGCCCGAGCCCGCATCATACCACGCACACGTGCGGCGTCAGTCCCTCACCCTTTTCCCATCGCCCTGCACCACGCCCCTTTCCTGTCCCCCCTGCCCCTCCCCCTCCCCCTGCTCCTGCCCCTTCCCTGTCCCCCCTCCCCCTCCCCCTCCCCCTGCCCCTGCCCCTGCCCCTGCCCCTGTCCCCCCTCCCCCCCACCTGCCCCAGCACCAGCTCCAGCGCCTCCAGTACGGCACCCCCCGGTGGGCCCAGCAGCAGCGAGTTGTTGGCCTCGATGGTCACGTAGCTCTGTGTGTGTGTGGGGGGGGGTGGATGACATGAGAAGTGCAGCAGGCGGGGGGAGCGTGAAGAGGAGAGGCAGAGGAAGGGGCGAGCAGCACAGGGATAGAGGAGCGAATAGAGGGCCAGAGCTAACGCGACGAAGTATCAGGAGGGCGGGTAGGGGGATCGGGGCGGGCGGGGCGGGTAGGGGGAGCGGGGCGGGTCAGCGCACTGCTGCTCCTGCTTCCTAGCTCCCACCCAGATGCCACCCGCCACCACCCACCTCCAGCACCGTCAGTCCGTCACACAGCGACACCCCGTCGGGGCACAGGTACGCCTGCGGGGGGGTGGGGCGGGGCGGGGCGGGGGAAGGCCCATGTGGTGGGAGGGAGAGGGCAAGAGGAGGGAGGGCAGTCCAAGTCGTG